AATCAAATTTTATTGTCCCCTGCGTAACGCGTTGCGGGGAACATGGAATTACCGGTCGTCCGTCCGTGTGTCCGTCTGTCCGATTTTGTTAGCGCTCTCACAGGTACAATTCTTGCAAGATTTTTATAACTTATACTATAGGTTAATATCAGCAATATCTCGGACAAGTTCTATAATGGTGGACGATCGACTTTTTTAAAAAGAGTTATGCTCCATAGAAATTTTAAATTTATGGAAAATGGCCTCGTTAGCGCTCTCATGGGTACAATTCTTACCAGATTTTTATAACACTTATACTATAGGTTAATATCAGCAATATCTCGGACAAGTTCTATAATGGTGGACGATCTACTTTTTTTTTAAAGGTCGACAGTGACCTTCCTTGCATTATATGTAATAATATATCTAGGTCAGGTTGTAATCCCATTTGTAATATTTCGTTAAGCATTCGGAAACCCCTTTTCTGCACCAGTCTGTAGTAATTTAATCAATAGGGATCACCGTCTTATCCACCATATGAAACGATGTATCAAATGAGAGTGTATTCCCATATGTAGTTTTTGATTTTGTATCCGGGGATCTCGGTTTTGCACAAATGTCTGTTACTTTGACCTTGACTTTTGATGTGGTGATCCCGAAATCTGTAGGGATCGTAATATCATTATATGTTACCATATAACCAAGTAAGTATGCAATTACATATACCGTATTTGAGATAGCATATGATATGGAAACCACTTTTGATGACACACCTCGGTCTATTTTTAAAACTTCGACTTTTGAGGTGGTGCCCTAAAATCAACCAACCATTATTTTCGGAAAATGTCTCTACCAAGTCAGGAAAAGTAGAGGTGTTGAAAACGTATTGCTTTGTCAGTTTTTATGGATTTCCCCTTTTTGAATTTACCTTGGGGTTCGCTAATTTTTTTCAATAAGAATAAGGATCTTTCTATCTTCACATGTGACCTATATCTATGTAAAGTTGCTATCCGGTATAAAGTATGAACATCCGGAAACTAAAATGACTGACTGACTGACGGCCTAACTGACTGACAGACAGGTCAAAAACTATATACCCCGCCTCCCGTATAGAGGGGTATCAAAACACTAACAAATACACAAATCATAGACCAAATTCACCAAGTTCAAATGCAATTAAGTGATAATCACAGTTTTGATTGGAGAACATTTTTTATTTTGAGGGTGGGGGGATTCCACGTTTTATCGGTTTGTAACTTTTCAGTTTTTATTTAATTTGGATGCGATTTCATGAATGCATCATATGGTCTATAAAAGAAATTGATACCACTTTTACATATTTGGTTGATATATTGGCTCTCAATTATGATGGCTTCAGTATGTACACTAAAGAGATTCATCCTGCTGAACTGACTTTAAATAAAGCTAATACTAACAATGAACACTGCTTTTTCCTCGATCTTGATATCTATATCTTTATCGGGAAGCTTAATACCAAAATTTATGATAAAAGAGATAATTTTTCATTTCCTATTGTTTATTATCCATTTTTAGATGGTGACGTGCCATTGTCACCATCTTAGGGTGTTTATATATCTCAACTTGTTCGATTCGCTTGTGTATGTAACAACGTATTTGATTTTAACGAAAGAAATCTCTGTATTACTGAGAAACTATTACACCAGGGTTTTCGATATCACAAACTAGTCAAAACATTTACTAAATTTTAGCATCGGTACAAGGACATCATTCGTAAATACAAATCAACATGCAGACATCTTATACGTTCAGGTATTTCACATCCAATATTTTATGGTAATATTCTATACAAAGCACAAAAAATGTCGGCACTCACCTCAAAAGCTAACCATACCTTTAAACAGACTTATTCAGAAGGGATATAGTTACGATACTGTTGTCAAGTCATTAAGGATTGCATATTTTGGTATTAATGCATTTATTCTAAAACCAGTTGTTGGCATGATACGGGTTATGTTCTTCTCAAATATTTTATGATGGTATGACACTAAACCCCTAACTGGAGGGATTGTGCTTGATTTTCATATGATGAAGACATAATCTTTCAATCAGTTTAATTGAGGTCTGGAGATGACATGTCAGTAACTGCTAGTAGTCCTTTGTTGACTTATGTATCATTGTCATTTTGCATAGTTTCTTTTGTTACCTATTTTGACATCGGACTCTGACTTCTTTAATCTGATTTTTTCTGTGCGTATTGCTGTGTGTTTCTTTACCAAGTCAGGAAAATGGCCATTGTTATATTATAGTTCGTTTCTCTGTGTGTTAAATTTTAATGTTGTGTTTTTGTTGTGTCGTTGTTCTCCTCTTATATTTGATGCGTTTCCCTCAGTTTTAGTTTGTAACCCGGATTTGTTTTTATCTCTATCGATTTATGAGTTTTCGAACAGCGGTATACTACTGTTGCCTTTATTTATTCTATATTGGCTAGAGGTATTGGGGGGGGGGGGGGGAGGCGGTTGAGATCTCACAAAACAAGTTTAACCCCGCCTCATTTTTGCGCCTGTCCCAAGTCAGGATCGTCTGGCCTTTGTTAGTCTTGTATGTTTTAAATTTTAGCTCATCTATATATTTTGGAATTTAGTGTGACGTCCATTCTCATTTTTGTTTAGGGGCCAGCTGAAGCCATTGTCTCGCCGTTATTGATTTACGAGATTTTAACATCGGTAAACTGCTGTTGCCTTATACTGATGTAGGCCAAACTTGAAATATATTACAGTTATCTCCTAATTATTTGAATACAAATTTTAAAAAAATGCCGACAATATTAGTAAGCACCACCTTTGACGAGATGCCTGCATTCACTGAGGCACATTGAAACACAATATCATAATAATAGTTACCGGAATAGCTTGTGACTCTAATATATCTGTATTTTGTACGATCTAAACACAGCCACAAGCAAGATTGTACTAAAATTATAGCAATCTGCTGATTTAGTACGTCCAACTTGATTTAGAACATCAATGACATGATAAACCAAATTCTGTTATGTTAATTAATTTATTTGAGTACTATTTAACAAAGAAAACAAATACTAGTAGAAAAAACTTATTAGTTGTGTCTCATACTGTTTAAAATACACGACGCACTGGTTGACAAACAAAATAATATAATTGTAACCCGTTGCAATGATGCTAAAATAATGTTTTGAAGAACATGGCTGTGTTGGTTTATAAATGACTCTAAATACTTGACAAAAAATTGACATTAACTGTTAGAGACGGGTTAAAATTACTGCCCTCGATAGAAAAAAGAACAGAACACCAAATGTCTTTTTTTTTTATCTTTCCACATACTGAATCCATAACACTAATTATGCAAACACTTACTGTTAATATTATGATTTCAGGACCTCGTACAAACGAGTATCGTACCTGTATTGTGGTAAGGAAATTGTATCAGTTAACACTCTTTAAAAAGCTCGCATTGTTTTCTTGCTTAAAAACTAAGACTTCACAGGAGGTACTACTAATCCGGTTTTTCTATTTGCTAATGCTTGATAATACTTCCCGTGCACCTTTTATGCAGTTGCATTCCTATTTTGTCAATATTATTTATTTATGCAAAGCAATCACATAGCTACAGGGACGTTAACATCTTTCAAAAGCCCAGTTGTAAAAAGAACATATAGTGTGACGGAGGAATAGAAGTATGTGTAAGTAGATTTCACCAGTGTCACAGTAAACTTCGTGATAGAGGGAGAGTAGTATTCAAGTTTGCGTAGCAAAATGTATACCTTGATGAACCCAATCTAGCAACGTACTTGCTATATGTTTGTTGTATAAATTTTTGAACCTATCCGATATACCCTTGCGAACTGCTGAAAGTTAAAACTATCAACTGTTTTTGTTGTTTTTTTCGTATCACGCCTAGTTACTCAAACATGACTAAATGATAAGGAAAGGAGATTTACAAAGAGCTGTAACCGTAAGCTATATGCATATAGTTAAAAGAGAGAGAACATATAAAGGGGGCAATACAAAAATAAAAGTCTAATAAAACACAAAACACTAGCGTTCAAAAAAAAACACTAAACAAAAAAACTAAAGATTGTGCAACAGGAGCTCAACCAAAAATACAAGGATGAATTCATGTGCTCTGGAAGCGTAAGCAATTCCTTCTTCACAAGTGGTACCCTCGTATTACTGATAGCAATTAAAATTCGGTAATTCGTTTTAATTCGCATTCGTGGATGTTACAATCGATGGAAAGAGGGAAGGATTATAGCTACAAAAGTGGAACCTATACATGGTCATCTGTGATACAGATTTTCCATGACGGTCAAGGAAATATGCTCCCGTTCGTAAAAAATTCGAAGGGATGACTTCAACTTTACCGTTTGAAACTATTGGTTCAATAAATTCATTTAAGGCAATGACTCTCTATCATTGACATCATGATAGAAAACGCATGTCCAGTAAAGTTGTTTTCAAGTCGGATACATATGCTCTATGCGCAGACGCTGATTGAATGTTCCTTCACAGAAATGGAAAATGTATGATGGTAAAATTGTAATCATAATCGTTTTGTTGTTTATGCCAAACTAAGAGATTCTTCACTGGGGCAATTATACAAGAGGTATACGCCTAAATTTGATAATGATGTTAAAATTATGGCAAACATATATATAATCGCTTCACGAAAGTACACAAAAGGATAACAGGAATTACCAAATCATAACATTACAAGGTGAGATATCAGGAATTCACTAGAAGAACGTTCTCATCACTGATGATGTTTTAGGTATATCATTATCAAGCTTTTGAAATAAAACATTAAAAAGTATCAATGAGTAAATCAAGTAAATGAGGTAACAAGCCAAAACAGAATGAACCAAAAGACACACAAAAAGCATCTATAGACAGTTGACTTTCCAATATGTAAAGTTTATCATCGTCCCAAGCCTATAAACGGTGTAACTAAAATATTTCAGATCTGTTACTAACGCCCAATTCTCCAAATAACGAAAAACATACAAAATGGGTATTACAAGTTCGAAGTGCCACATATTGAGCAGGGTTTGCTTACCCTCCGAAGCACCTGAGATCATCCCCGATTTATGATGGGGTTCGTGTTGCTCAGTCTTTAGTTTTCTATGTTGTATTTTGTGTACTGTTTTTCGTTTTTTGCCATCCTGCTCTACATGTGGCACCTCTGAACTTGTGATACCCATTTTGGATGTTTTTCGTTATTTGGAGAATTGTTTTCTTTTAACAAATACCCGAAAATAAGCCATTTCTTAAAATTGATAATTTGTCACTTTTTTTCTGCACAAGAGGAATTCATATCGTGGTTATAATGTCTGTTGAATACATTTTGTCTCTTCAGATGGGGTTGCTTACTCAAAATATACTCCATGCTTTTCATATTTGTTTTTTCTTGTTTTCTTTTTCTTGGTGGTAGTTGTAGTGATATCATGATGATTCACGCTTGTTTCACCTTTATAAGCTAATTCAGACTGGAGCAGCTTTCACTATATTGCACAAAAGAAAACGTTATATTGTGCTTCTAATTACCTCTGTTTAATCTATTTTTCCTCGCCAGATGGAGGTTGGAGTAGCTGGTCTGGAATAAATTGGTCCACCGGTTGTTCCACTACTTGCGACGCAGGAATACAGTATGGACAGAGAACAAGATCATGCACAAATCCGAGCCCTAGGAATGGTGGGAAACCGTGTTCAGGATCGAGTACCCTTAAAGTAACACGTGCTTGCAAAATTACCAATTGCACAATAGGTAAAACATAAATACTCAAAGTAATTAGTAACTTATTTTAATTTCATGAATAAGTAAAAATAAAATTCACAAATTAACAATTGAGTTTCAGCTCTAGCAGGAAATAAAGCTGTCGATAATTGTATGGATGATATCGTGATTTGATTGACCATTATAATTGTTTATCTATGTAGGACTCTAAATTGCGATGGTTCTCTAAAGTGTGATAGTCACGCTAAAGTGCGATAGTCTACGCTAAAGTGCGATAGTGTTAGACGCTAAAGTGCGATAGTGTTAGACGCTAAAGTGCGATGGTTGTTAGTTTTTTTTAAGTGCGATCAGATGACACGCAAAAGTGCGATGGTAAATGACACGCTAAAGTGCGTTGGTTTAACACGCTTTTAAAAGTGCGATGGTGGAACGAGGATGGGGTTCAGGCAATGGTTTTTGTTTTTTGCTGTGTTCATATTAGTTATTCGTCTATTGTGTTGTTTATAAATCATGCTGTCTTTCTCTATTGAATTGTTTTACATTAGTCATTTCGTGGTCCTATATAGCTACTATGCGACGTAAGCCAAGGCTCCACGTTGAAGTTCATAATGTTGCTAAGTGCATATGGTCTTTGGTGGATAGTTGTTTCTTTGACAATTACACTACATCTTCTTATTTGTTTTTTGTTTTTGTTTATTGTTATCCATCTCTTTATCAGACATGACGAACCATATTGTAAAAAAATGTTTTATAAAATAATTCAATTAGAAAGTTAAAACGTAGCTTTTATTTCACACAGGTAAAAGACATGGGATTAAAAACATAGAAGGAGTTTCTAAATTAAATTTGGACGAATGAAATACTTTGACCATTGGTGTATTTTGCCGTTTTCGCTCTCTTTTACGGTATACACCTTCCCCTTACTATCGTCAGTTTCTAAGTTTATGAGAAACACGTTTGTCCCCGTCGACACAGCGGAATCAAAGGTTTGCATTTCTGTTACTGTCGATGATTTTTTGGGAAATAATTCCTCCGCATACAAACTCTTCTAGCACCGACCAAAATTAAAATCATTTGTTTCTCTTTTTGAGTCTAGTAAAAAAACCTTTATCTGCACAAACATTCTTGTTTACCGGCATGTCCAGTTTTGTTTGTACAAACGGCGTGTAGCGTCATAATGCTATTTATGGTTGCAAACGTCCAAACTTTCGCGAACAAACGCATTTTTGCGGAAAACGCACTTTAGCTTGTTCCATTAAATATCACATACCATCGCACTTTAGCGTATCAAACCATCGCACTTCAGCCTAGGCCATCGCACTTTAGCGTGGCCATCGCGTTTTAGCGTTCTTATCGCACTTTAGAGTCCTACATATATATACTGAAAAGTTAACACAATCCCGTTTCCTTTTCCTCGTTGTTATTTTGGGCATTTATTTCTTCTGTTTTTCGTCCAATTATGGTTTCTGATTGCCCTTTTTTGGCAATACAACACATGGACCATATATACTATAAAGTCTCAGTTTTGTTTTATTTCCATGTTTGAACTCTAGTTTGAGATTAAACAGTTTAATCATTTACAAGCTGACAGATAGATAATTTATTTTCAAGCGGACATCAGTCTGAGAGTTTGTCCTCAAAAAATCTAACAATAAGAGAAATGTCGGTACACATACACCGTCTGTTCGTTTTGGAATGTTGAGAAATGAAAAATGATTTTGAGGATTTCTTCTTATAGACAATTCTTTAAAAAAAATTTTAGCAAGCTCCTATGCTTTTATAAGATTAGAAATTTAGCTGTTCAAATTTTAATTACAAATAGATAAAACAAACGTGTGCTTTTCTTTTTTTTTTCGTTTTCCTTTGTTGTTTTGTTTCGAATGGTTAAATGTATGCTTCGTGATTAATAAATAAGCAAGTAGTTTAAGCATTGCTTATTTGTTTTCGAATATTTCATATATGTTTGATGATACTAAATGAAAACAAAATGTCGATAAAACAGCCCAAGGCCACCAATAAGTCTTCAACACAGCGAGAAAAGTACGCACAATATATATTAATAAACTTCTTTCGGTCATACTTTTTGTTAAGTAACAGCCTAACCATGCTTACCCCAAATAAACTTCATGTTTTTCATATTTTTTTGTTGTTGTTGATGGTAGTTGTAGTGATATCATGATGACACCGGTTGTTCCACTACTTGCGACACAGGAATACAAAATGGACAGAAAACAAGAACATGTACAAATCCGAGCGCTAAGAATGGCGGGAAAACGTGTCCAGGATCGAGTACGCTTAACGAAACTCGTGCTTGTAAAGTTAGAAATTGCCCAATAGGTACAAAATAAATGCATAGAGTTATGTGTGTAATAATTTAGTTTCATAAAATAGTAGACTCTTGTGACAATAATTAAATTGCATCCTTAGTATGAAATCAGTTTATAGAGAATTGTATGGACACATCGTGATTAGGTTCTTCGTTATATGTGTCAAAAGCTGAATACTGCCGTAAGCACAATGTTATTCTCTGTTTCTAGATATGGACATAACCGAATTCTGTTTTATTTTTTATCTATCCATGAGAAAAGAACAAATAAACTAGTGTTGGAGCTATTATTTGGTTTTACTGATCATATGAGTTCACCACATATTCCAAGTGAATTTCGTGTTGCTCAATCTTTGTTTTATGTTTAAAAAAGGTTAAGTTAAGATACCAGGCTTATAATTGTGTACGCAAGGCGCGCGTTTCGTCTACACGTCTCAATAGTGATGCTCGAAAAAAGAAGTTATATAATTCTTTTCGTTGTTGTTTTTATTTGTCAATTATGCTGTCTGCTTTTCTACGAATAATGTGTCAACTATAAAACAAATGGATCACATATTTAAGCTTAGCCTACATAAAACATAGGATTTACTGTCGCGAATTGAGTGAAATTAGCGACGCGTAGTGTAGAATTTACCACGTCAAAATATGTGATGTCGTCTAATCAAAATAATCAATTATAAACAAATTACATCAGAATAAACATTTATTTTCAGAATACGTGCATAATCAAACATTTGTTATTGAAAAATGCCGAAAGACAATATATGTTTTCTTTTAGATTTTTGAGAAATGAAAACGATGTTAAAGATGTCTTTTCATATACAAAATGTATTTTACATGCTGACGAAACCATGCAGAGCGCCAACATTTCTGATAATATCTTTTGCTATTATACTCTTAAACGATTAAACTCTCCATTATTTTTAGTTCAAAAGAATAAAACGACTGTGTGTATTTCTTTTTTCTCTCACTTTCTTTGCTTTTTTTTGTTGTATTTTTTGGTTTTGTGTTTCACAATCGTTTGAGAAAATAACATTGTATATTTCTTATAGATAATACAAATGTTGCGTGTTTTGTGGTATAAATTACATACTTGTCCTTTAGTATTTTAGCAAAACAGGCCAAAAATCTCACAAATCAATAAAGAAGTCAAACCATGGGAAATGGACATTTGAAAAGTTTAAATCGTCACGTTAGTCGTAGATTCTACTTTGATGTCGTCTAACTGGTTTTTTTTCGAAAACATATATGAAGCAAATTTTCTTTTTTCTGCATTATAAAGTTTAATTTCATTTTCAATCGGATATATGAGATGCTAAAACTCACGGAAATGTGGGTTATTGAGTGACAGGACATAATGATATATCTGAAAGTCAAATTAAAGAACTCTGTTTTTTTTTCCTTTCAAAAGTAAAACAACAAAAATACCGAACTCCAAGGAAAATTCAATACGGAAAGTCCCTTAACAACTGGCAAAATCAAAAGCTCAAACGAATGGAAAACAACTTGACTTGGTACATGCATTTTTCTATGTAGAAAATGGTGGATTAAACAGGGTTTTAAAGCTAGCTAAACCTCTCACTTGTATGACAGTCGCAAAAAATTTCATTATATTGACAACAATGTGTGAACAAAACAAACAGACATATTAGGTTAAAAATGTCAAAAATAGGGGTACAGCAGTCAACATTGTGTTATAATCTCAATCACTATAAAAACAAACATATGAACACCAAAACTAGTGTCTGCCAGTGCACAATTTGTACTACTCATTGGAATACCGACTGTTTGTTGAAATATCAATTAACCAAACCCAAAAAATATGCAAGAAAAGTATTTACGCTTAAATACATAATTCCCGGTTTTAGTTTAGTATTTGCTTTATTTTGTGTGTAGTCATTTTTTATATACATTTGTAGTTGTGGCATATTTTTATGTATATTTTTTTCTGCCTAGAATTGCCAATGTCAAAAATTCAAACTGAAATAGATTTGTATTCATTTTAAATTCTTTACTATGGCTAGTTGATATTTAATACATACAAAATGCCACATTACTGTAAATTCAGAAATTATTGTTTCCATTTATTATTTTGATTGTTGGCCAATCGTCACAAATGCGACTTTATTGCAATTTCAGGAAATGGTGCATACAAATAATGCTATCAATATTAAAATGCTCGTTTTTTTTTTTGCAACACACCTATCTCGTAGCAATTTTCAAAATAATATAAACATCGCAAACATTTCTGAATTTACACATGTATCTCATTCGCATCAGTCATACTTGTTGAGTAGTAGTGTCAAAGCTGCTTACCTCAAACGTACTTTATGTTTTTTCATATTTGTTTCATTCTTTCAGTTGGTGATATTTATGTATGTTTGTTTTACTTTTTTAAGTGCATGGAGGTTTCATTTACTTTCACTATATTGTATAAAAAAGGTGTATCTATAATGAGTTTATCTAATAATCTCTGTTTAATCTGTTTATTTCTTCTCTTAAGATGGAGGTTGGAGTAGTTGGTCTGCCATAAGTTGGACTATCGGTTGTTCTACAACTTGCGACGTTGGAATACAGAATGGACAGAGAACCAGAACATGTACAAATCCGAGCCCTGTGAATGGCGGGAAACTGTGTGTAGGGTCGAGTACGCTAAACATAACTCGTACATGTAAAGATAAAGATTGTCCACCAGGTAAATGCTGAATGTGTGAAGTAAGATGTTGAATGAAGAGAGGCGAAAGATACCAAAAAGGGATATTCAAAAATCGATAACAAACTGATATTGCCATTGCAAAAACCGAAAGTCGACGAAATCACAAACAAGTTAAGATAAACACTACGCATCTAATTCAGGACTAAGCCAGACGAACCCAACCTACGTTTCGTTAGTTCTAGTAGCATTTGCATATTTCTTTTCTCTTTTGAAGACTTATCTTAGGAAAATGTAACTTGTCTATGAACACAACGACGAAGGTCATAACACAAATGACATCATTAAGCAAAATTATATTTCGCATTTCACTCCCGGTTTTTAATTTGTCTTTTGATTATATTTTTTGTGATGTATTTGTGATACTTTAATGTTATTTTTGCATGCTTTCCATTGCTTTATCAATTTATTGTCCTGAAAAAGAAAAACAAAATTAACAAAAATACCGACTCCAAGGAAATTTCAAAACGGAAAGTCCCTTATCAAATGGTTAAATACGATTTGTATTTCGTTTTAAAATATTTTAAATGTTTGGGTAATTATGCAATGTAAAATGCCCTACTAACACAACACAATATCTAATATTATTCTTCATACATGAAACTTTGTCCGTCGATTGATAATCTTAAATTAATCCCTTAACATATTGTGTTTGTTACATCTGTTCATTGGTACTGTTTACTAGTAGTGCCAATAATACATACTCAATACCTACCCCCATTGTATTCAAATTTGTTACAATGTTTTAGTTGACCGTAGTTGGAATGATTACACGAATATCCATATATTTTTATTCTATAAGTTAATGGTGACTGGAGTGATTACACAGCAGTGTCGTGGAATGACGACTGCTCCACTACTTGTAAAGGTGATTACGGGATAGAATCTGGATACAAAAATAGAACCTGTACCAATCCCGAGCCTGCGTATGGTGGTAAGGATTGTGTTGGAGAATCATTCGCTACTGACATCCGTCAGTGTACTCTCAAAGAATGCCCAGGTATCTGTTTCACTTTATAGTATGACAAATATAATGTAACGAAAAGAGACTGAAATAGTTTTGCTGCGTAGTAATAAGACTGAATCGAAGTATAAACAAAATAGAAATGAACTGGAATACAATAGTCATGTATAAAAATGTGTACTGCCTATTGTGTTTTTTTTTAACTTTAATCGTTACACAACTCAACTAAATAGGTGTAATATGAAAACCGGATTTTGTATAATCATGCTTTCTTTCTGGTATCTATCATTAAACCTACAAACAAATTATTATAAAATTCAGTGTTTTGATTTCCCGTTTATATTGAATACTCGTTGTAACATATCTACATGTTAACGTAAAAAGCTTACTCATAAAAATTTTAACTCTTAAAGTTGATGGCGGTTGGGGTAATTACTCGCTTGTGCAGTGGAGCGGCGACTGTTCGACAACTTGTGGTTTTGGAACAGAATCAGGCGTGAAGACCAGAACTTGTAGTAATCCTAAAGCAGCTTACGGCGGTGAAGATTGTGTTGGTGAAACAAACTCAACAGAAACTCGTCAGTGTAAACTAAAAGACTGTTCAAGTAAGTATGTACTTTACTAATGTTAATTCTTTGCAGTAAGTTAGAGTCTTTAAACGGAAATGTAATATTGAGCCATACGATCGTAGCATTACTTACCCTTAAGATACTACATTTAAAATAGTTGATGACGACAAAATTTCGAATTAGTCAGAGCGGTCGATAAAATGCGGGGGACAATGAATCGATGAATGTTTAATTTCAGGCATCGAAGTATATATATTTTTTTTATACATATAAATATGAATTCATTGTGTAATTTCCCTGGTTATTCAATGACTATAATTCACAGGGATACTCGGCCAACTGCTGTAAGTCGAGTATATTGTCATAACAGCAAAGAATAGTGCAATAAAGATGTTTAGATAAAAAAAAAGAAGATTCTTATTAATGAAGTCGGATTTGTTTAAAGCTTACTTTGTCTCTTTTAAATTGGTTTGCAATTGGCTTTCGAAAATGACAAAATGAGCATCATTCTTGAAAATTCAGCATACAAAATGATTGTAAAAAGTAAAATCACAAAAATACTGAACTCCGAGAAAAATTCAAAAAGGAAAGTCCCTAATCAAATGGCAAAATCAAACGCTCAAACACATCAAACGAATGGATAACAACTGGCATATTCCTGACTTGGTACAGGCATTTTCTTTTGTAGAAAATGGTGGATTGAACCTGGTTTTATAGCTAGCTAAACCTCTCACTTGTATGACAGTCGCAATAAATTCCATTATATTGACAACGATGCGTGAACAAAACAAACAGACACAACGTTAACGTTGTCTGTTGTAATTTCGGTAATTTTAAATTTAGTTCCTTGCCTTTACAAATTGTTTCATGGATTATTAAATCAGCTGGTCAGATGTGCAATTACTTGTGATTGATAAAACAAACCTGTTAAGTAGTTTAATGATCATATAACTTCAGATAATACTTTAACAATAACTTGTGACCACAATGGGCAGTACATCCCACATCCAACAGACTGTCACAAGTTTTATCAATGTGTTTGGTCTACACCAGTTGAAATGGATTGTCCAAATAATTTGGCATGGAATGGGATAATACTGAACTGTGATTACATGGAAAATGTTCCTTTGTGTAACCAGTTGGGATCAATAGGCGACTCGTCTGGCAACACCAATACAAATACTACAGGTATTCAAAGTGAATGATAAGATTTTAATGGCGTGAAACACAATTATTAGTATAGAAAGCATTAATATGTCGAAGTACATGCTGATCAGACATTGATTAAACAGCAAATTAATATTAGCAACGATGAGCAGTCGCTGGTACACATATATAAAGTTATAAATGTCTCAAGGATGTTAATACATGTATATGCATTTGACGGCAAACACATCAAAGGAATCTATAACAATCTGTCACATAGAGTAATGATAATTTCAGCTAGCGCTGTTTTTGGTAGTATTTTCCCTGAGGCGCATTTATGCAGCCTAAATAGAAGTCGTTACATATTTTCACAGTAAAATTATGAAGGAGTGGGATCAAAATGGGATAAGAGTTTCTTTATAGAGCGAATTCATAGAAATTCGGCAATACTCATTTTATGAAAAACTGCTATGAATATAGAAAAACAAAAAAGAGAAAAATATAAAGGCAATCAGAAGTCTACGTCAACGAAAGTCAGATAAAACCGTCAACTAAGAAAAGACGTATGATAAAACTACAAAAAAAAAAAAAAAACACACACATTGAAATTTGAGCAACATCAATCTTAAAGAAGGTTAAATATGGTCTTCCAGATTTGAAAGCAGTTTCCCATTCACTATTGAGTCATACCCAATATTACAATATAGTCATCAGTTAGCTCTCGAGGTCAAGGATTTTTTAAGGATCTGTAATGGTCCTTAGAAATAAGAAGATGCGGTATGAGTGCCAATGAGACAACTCTCCATCCAAGTCACAATGTGTAAAAAGTAAACAATTATAGGTCAAAGTACGGCCTTGAACACGGATCCTTGGCACACACTTTTGCTAAAAATTGTTTTTAATTGTCATCGACATTTTAAGGAGTTATTTGGCATTCAACGACTCGCCATTGCTTCTAGTTTACGTTGCTCTAAAGTCATTGCAACAATATGGCCTCATTTATTTACGTTTTCGTCAAAATGTCCTATGCGAGGTTTAACAAAGTGAACCAAATGCAATATCATCATTGTGTCTGTTATTTAAAAATTTGACCCAAATAGAAGCAAACGAAGCACCTTCTACTTTGTCTAAATAATTTCTGAAGAAGATATAACATCGGTCAATAGTATTTCTATTAAACAGGTGAATTTAAATGTGGTGATAAGACAGGATTTATCGCGGATCCTAAAAACTGTACCACATTCTACCGTTGTGTACATGGACAGAAATACCACATGTCGTGTGCAGCAGGCACTTACTTTAGTGGAGGTGTATGCATTACTGGAGAGTGTTAAATAGATCATTAGTAAGTGATTTATAATTTTGTGATGAAGGATTTAGTCAAATTAAATCAAATCAAATCAAAAGCTGTATTTAAGTCGGCATAGCTTATAACAATAACATAAGCTCTTTGAGCTTTTATAACCGGCGAATACATACATTTACACAATAAACATACACAATACACATACACAATACTAATATTAAAACATAAAAGACATAGAACATATATTCAAGCACAGTTAGGCAAGGCTGAACTAAATTAAATACTAAACATTATATATATATACATGCATGAGCACTAAGCTAAAAACAACATTAAAGCAGAAACATAAAATACTACAGCACAGCAATCACACATTATAAAAAGCTAAGCAAATAAAACACTAAAAGAGTGGAAGTATAATAAACAGCACTAAGTACTATGTTTCAAAGCTGTAACATAAAACATAAAAATATATACTAAGCACATGCTTTGCAATGGCATAAGTTGCCATTCCATGAGTTTATAAGACTCTTAAATTGGGTAAAAGATGTTTCAGTTCTAAAGTGGTTTGGCAACTCATTCCATAGTTTGGCTGCAGAATATCTGAAAGATTTCAAGCCATACCTTGCAGGCATTTAGCTAAATTTTGATATCTGAAAGAATATTTTGTTTCTTTAATGTTTATAAGATCATGTAGGTATATTGGATTTTCTTTATTAACTGTTCCAAATACCTCTATTGCCATGGTTCTTATGCGTCTTACTTTAAGTGATGGCATTTTTTATTTTAAAAGTAAATCATCAAAAGTGGTATTGTTATCATGGTAAATGAACCGGAGTGCTCTTTCTTGTACGTTTTCAATTTTAGTAGGATTTGCCTCGCTGCAGAAATGCCAGGACAATGAGCAGAAATTAAAGTTTGACATAATAAAGAAGTGATATATTGTTAATTTTCCCATTTTGTTCAAGTATTTGCCAAGTCTTTTAAAGACATTAAGTTGTCTGGTTGCTTTTTTGCAGATGTTAGATATATGTGTGTTGAAATTTAGTTCAAAGTCAATGGTGATGCCTAATAGTTTGACCTCTTTTTCACATTTTATTTTGTTACCTGCCATATCAAAAGTAATGGTTTTGCCCATTTTTTTTTTTTTTGGCAAATTGCCAAAGCTTGAAATTTTTCAGGGTTTGCCTTTATTTGAATGGGAGAGAACCAGTCTATCAGAGCCAAACTGTCTTTTTCAAGTGTGGAAATAACTGTGTTTATATCCCTATTTAAATAAGAAAGTGTATCGTCGTCAGCATAATTGTAGAGTAAACTGTGTGTGGTGAAGTGAAAGGTATGATTTAAGAAAATGTTGAAAAGTATAGGATCAAGAATAGAACCTTGTGGTATTCCTTTGGATATATTTTGCCAATTGCTCAGACTGGAGCCATCTCGAACACATTGTTTCCTGTTAGATAAGTATTTTTTATCAGTTCTCAATGATTCTGAGTAGAGTAGTTTGACATCCGTATTTTGGTCGAAAAGCTGATAAGTATGGATGAAAGTGTGTATTGAAGTATTCGACTAGCTGGTTGTAAATTGCTCGTTCGAAAAATTTTGAAATAACTGGAAGTATACTTACTGGTCTATAGTTGCCCACAGCAAGTACATTGTTCTTTTTGTGCAATGGTTCAACTTGTACCTGTTTTAGTTGGTCTGGAAAGTAGCTGATTTTATAATCTTGTTTATCAATTCAGTTATTGGTTTTGTGATAACTGGTTGTGCTAGTTTTAGGAATTTAACTGAGATGCCATCTATTCCTGTTGCCTTTTTTAAAGTTTAAATTTTTTAAGTTGTTTGTCTACAAATTCATTTGAGATGGTACTAAATTCTAGTTTCCAGAATTTAAATCAGTAGAATCAATTTGTGTAGACTTATTTGTTCATTATAGAAAACGGCTAATAACAGGGTTATATAGACCACCATCTAGTTTAGTAAATTATAGAAAACGACTTAAAATATTAAATTAATAAATGCAAACCGAAATAATAAA